AGACAGACAGACATACAGACATACATACAGACATAAATACATACATACTTACATACATTACATTACATTGCATTGCATTACATTACATTACATTACATTACATTACATTACATTACATTACATTACATTGCATTAGATTCATTAGATTACATTACATTTCATTACATTACATTACATCACATTACATTACATCACATCACACCACATCACATTACATTACGTTATATGGCAATACATTACATTGCAGTTCATTACATTGCAACCCATTACGTTGCATTACATTGCATTGCATTACCAGACATTACACTACATTACATTACATTACATTACATTACATTACATTACATTACATTACATTCCACTACATTCCACTCCATTCCGTTACATTACATTACATCACATTACATTACATTACATTACATTACATTACATTACATTACATTACATTACATTACATTACATTACACTACATTCTATTTACATCACGTATTATGTTGCATTACATATTACATATTCCATTACATTACATTACATTACATTACATTACATTCAATTACATTACATTGCATTACATTACATTTCATTACATTTCACTACATTACATTACATTACATACATTACGTTACATTACACTGCATTACATTACACTACATATACATGCATGCATACCGTCATACATACAAGCACACCTCACTCTCTCTCTCTCTCTTCTCCGCGCTCCTCGCCCTCTCTCTGCTTCTTCTTTGTCGTGCTACTCTCTCGCTCTCTCTCTCTCTCTCTCGCTCTCGATCGGGTTGCTCCATACGTGCCTGTCTGTCTTTGCTATGGTTGAGTCGGCGTTTCCCTGTGTGCCTTGTCGCTCGCAAGCAGTGTGTCACGTACCGTCTATAGGGCTTCAAGTTCAGGGTTGCTGCATTGCTTGGAGGGGCCTTCGGGTGTGTGGGAGCCCAGATCCGAATAGAGCCTCGAGGATCGCACTGGCGGGCCTTGCAAACAAGCCGCCCTGTGCTGACTGTCGTGCGTTGCCAGAGGCTCAGGCTGGGGGCTTTCCTCTGAAACCTCTAGCTCATAAACGGTCCTAGACTCAGTCAACCGCTGCAAGCTCTAAACCCTAGCCATTGGCCCTCTGCAAGTTTTAATGTGCATTACACCCTAGAAGGAGCCCCAACACTCCAAGAGAGGCCTGGGAGACATCACCAAAGAGGTGGCAGCGGGCGAAGAAGTCGTGACCTTCTGAGCTTCCGTGCACTAAAACTCACGGATTTTATTGAGGGTTCAAGTGCTTTGGAAACTTTCGATCGCACGGCTTGTACTGAGAATTCAGGGGACCTGGGCAGTCGAATAACCGAAAGTAGGGCGCAGGGTCATGCAGGCGTCGGGCTCAGAGCGTAAGGAGTTGGGGTTCAGAATGTGCGGATATGATGCTTTGGTGATGAGGAGTTTGGGAAGAGAGCTTGACGGTTTACACTCTCAGATGTAGGAGCCTATCGAGCACTAAGCTCCTGTAGCTTATGCGAGGCACAATAGATAAGAACTTACTTCAAAGCAACCGAAGTGCCGGACATAAGGTTCAGGGCTCTACCGTGATGAGGTTCGGGGCAGTGCTTTTCGGAGCTTCAAGGTTCACGGCGGTCTTAGGCTTTAGACGGATTGAGACTCAAGGGTTCAGGGTGAAGATCTAGGTCCCGGGCGTTTCGGTTTAGGGTTTAGGGTTTAGGGTTTAGGGTGTGTAGAGCATTGGCTTGGCAGACTCATAAACTTCAGGATTTGATGTTAAAGGGTTGGGGGCTTTCGGGCTTCCGTGCTTAACGTAGAGCCATGGATACAGGAGCCTCGGAGGTCATACAGGTAAACATTACTCAGTCTGATGCAAGCCCGATTTGAATCCTGCCCCCGAATGCGAACTAAACCGGACTCCCAGTTCTAGAGCCGTCCAAAAGAATGGAACCCAATCAAACCCTCGCCGTACTTGATAACACGAAACTCAGCCCGACAGAAGAGAATGCTGCCCGCACCTTTCGGCTCGCAGAGGATGACGACGGGAACTGAGATCTCAGGCTTGTATTCGGCGAGGACCTTGCGGGGTTTCTGGGCCCTTAGGCTTACATGAGTGTCAACAAATGTGGTTTCTGGGCTCAAGGTTGAGGATTCTCGACCCTGGAACCCACGCAACACTCCAAACGACATACGCGTCTCATACACAGCAGCATCAAGTCTTACACCCTGAAAGGAACCCCGAAGAGGAACATCAAGTGCACACACGCGCAAAGGCACTACAGCTTTGGATTTGGGGGGGGAGGGGGGGTGGGGTGCGTCTCGCAGGCTCCCTCACAATGCAAAGCTGTAGCAACAGTGGCAAACGGTGAGGAAAGCCATCTGAAGCCGGAAGACGCAATGGCTTGTGGTTTGGGGCTAGGCCTCTAGCGTTGGAAGCGTGCAACTTCGGGACAACTCGAATCCGGTACCAGACGAACACCAAGGGCTCGAAGCCTCCGAAACCCTGCAACCCATGAGCTTAAGCTCTTCTGCCCTTGAACACTACATGCCCTTATTCCAGTACAGACAAACTTGTAAAGGCTCTGGTAAACAAAACACATGTGTACATATAGATATATGTTTACATACACAAATAGATAAACAACAAAAGTAAATGCAAGCGTATATACATATATACATTTGTACATTTGACGATTTATTATCTTATAGATGTAGCTACTTAAGGGGTCAATCAGTCAGTCAGGTGTACACATACTCCATCTACTTACATACACGTATACGTACACACGCAGACAAACACACCGACATACATGCGCATCGGTGCATCACGGCATTTCCTAGCTTTCTTCTTAATCGCACGGGCCTGGCTGGGGTTCCCGATGCCGAGAACAGTGGCAGTGGTGCGGACGCGGCCTCGGCGCATCTAGTGGCCTTGATGAATAAGAGTAAGGTTCCTTAGCAGGGTATGAGGGATCTCTTATCAAGCTTGCAAATATGTTTGCGGGGCAAAGGCTGGTGGGATTCCGAAGGTGTTTACGTGGCTTAATGTTCTCCTCGTCAGAACTTTACAGCCATGGAATCACCTCAAGGCGTGATGTTTCAGGCTTCAGGAATACGGGGATTCAGGCCAGGACCCTTAGGTGCGCTTGGCTGTAGCCAGACTTCGGGGAGCCAACATGTGGGGTCCAATGATTAGGACTTATGGCGGCATAACTTTTTGGAGACTTCCACAGCGTTTATTGACTCCGTTTCATGCTAACTATGAACGGTACCTGCCCCTGGTAGCCTCGCCCTTAGCTAGCCGGGCCCGGGCCCACTGTTACGTTCCGGAACCCTTAAGGCTTCCTGTAAGGGTTCTACATAAGGGTTCCTCTGTGGGCTTTTAGGGTCTCATGGTCTCAGGGTTTACGGGTTTGGTGTTTAGGATCCAACCTTGCAGACCATCAGCCGTCCTTCAGCGAACGCCAGAAAGCCTAAACTTAGCCTAAATGCCCGAAGCGTGGCCTGGTATATCGGATGCTACCTCTAAAACTTACAAGCCCGAGCTGCAGGGTCTATGGATTTAAAGCGGCCTAAATACGGAGGCCTCACTCATTAGAACTGGGCTTTCGGGTAATCGTCGTAATGTAATTATCATGTATGCATGCACGATGAGGGAATGCACGGTTTGAGGGCCACGCCCCCTGCTGCAAACCTGAGGCTTTATTTGCGCAGCCCTTGCCAACAAACGAAAGATTGATGAAAGCGTCAACATCCGTGCCTACCTCGACGTGTAGGGTTGACATGATTACAGCGTGTCAAGCATTAACCATGATATCTACCTTTTGCGAACGTTCAGCTCTAACTGAAAACTGACGTCAAGGTCCGGGGATGGGGGTCCACGACCCAAGCATCAGCAACACCCTAAAGCAGCCCACGGTTTTTTCACCACAAAACAATCGCTGCGAGGTCCTCAAAGCACCCAGCCCATGGCCGTCCTTGCATCAGTTTGCAGGACGTCTGAGTTCAACCCTCATTCCCCGAAGACCGGGGTGGGATTTGGTGGAGAGACTAGTGACTCTCAGCTTTCACTGAAACAAGCCGAAGGCCGACTCAGGACAGTCCATCGCCTTCTCTGTAATCGGTGTTGGTGACATGATGGTCAGAAGCGTAGTCATCCAGTCATCCCCATCAAAAATAATGAATGTCTACCCAAACCCAAGTCGACCCTATACTGTTGTAATATAAATATTCAGGTCTACACACAAACACCATAAAAGTCTTTCCGTGAAAGCCTTACGCCTTACACGTTGGTCCGAGAAAGCGCAAGACAAACCTGTCACCATGTTTGGCACCACCACCACGACTACTACTACTACTACTACTACTACTACTACTGCTACTACTGCTACGACTACGATGACGACGAGTACGACTACGACTACCACGACTACTGCAACGACGACAACGACGTCGACTACTACTATCTCTACTAAAACCATTCCTCCTCCTCCAGATGCTGCTACTAGTGCTA